CAAGAAGAAGCAAAAGTAAATCACAGAGATAGAAATCAGAAGGGTGCCTAAGTGGGGATGGGGTGAGGGTTGACTGGAAAGAGGCTCTAATGACTTTGGGCTGGTGAAAATGTCCCATAACTTGATCTAGGTGATGGTTTCTTTTGTCAAAGTGCACTGAGCAGCGAAGTTAAGATTAGCACACTTTGGTCTGTGTGGATTATACTTCAGTCATTTACTGATAGCAAATAAATAAAAACAAAATTAAAAATTGGGGTTGGGGAATGTCATTAAGTTTACATTTTATTGTATTCTTTAGGTTTCACTTAAAATACCCGGTTGGATTGTGAACTCTCATCTTCTCTTGTTCATTTCTGATTTGGCCTGAAAAGGCCCTACGGATGTTTGAAATATCTGAGCTAAAGAGACAGGTACGGCCCATCCTGTCAACAGTAAAAGATACCAATAAGGCTGACTGAGAGGGAGCTCCTCAGCTTTTGGGTGTTGCACTTGCTCAGAGAGGGGGCAAAAGTCTAGCCTTTCAATATGACGGGATCCCTGTGTGCAGGTTACGGGTTCCTTCTATTCCTGCCGCTACAGAGAACTCTGAAGCCACAGGAAGCCACAGGAAGCTGTACCCTCTCTAACCGCAGGTAAATGGCGCAGGCCAGGCTGAGGTTGGAGGCTAAAGGGAAAGAAGAGCCCTACACCCTAGAAGGGACACTGCAGTGACTCTGATTGGAGCCGAGTTTGCTGCGGCCTCACTAGGATCACAGCGAGCCACAGGAGCTGACGCGGCCGGACTCCTTCTTTAAGCTTAATGCTTCCGTTTTGGAGATGGAAGGGTCCTCATAGATTTCCCTCCTTCTTGGTGTCTCTCCATTTTCCTCCCTTTCTTCCCCACTCTGCTAAAATAAAAAAACCCTTCTCTCTCCGTGGTGCAGTCCTCACCGCTGCACAAAGCTACTGCGAAGTTTTGTCTCCCGGGTCCCGACTCTACCGACCACCGGCCCTTCTCCTGGCAATTCCCTGGTGGACCCACCCCCTGTCCAGCTCCCAGCCTCCTGCACCAGGCACGCACCCCAAATCGGCGCAGCTGAGCCCCTCAGCTCCCCCACGCCACGTGGCAGGAGAGGGGCAGGACCCTTTTCTCGCCGCTGGCCCCTAGAGGGCCTCGCCCCTTGCCCTCTTCTGGGGATGCGGGAAATCAATGGGAATCAATGCTTTTTAGAAAGAACTTACTTCCCCTTCGTAAGCAGTCAGTGACGTGGTGAAATTCTGTCTGTACAAAAATACAAAATTCGCGGGGCATGGCGGTGTGCCTGTTGTCCCAGCTATCTGGGTGCTGAGGCAAGAAGATCGCTTGGCCCCGGGAGGTGGAGGCTGGTGGAGGCTGCAGTGAGCTGAGTTTGCACCACTGCACTCCAGCCTGGGGCACCGAGTGACACTCTGTCAACAAACAAAACAAAACAAAACTTCCCCATGGGAAAACAGTTTGTGATTTCTGTTTTCAGGGTTCTTCAAAGGACTAAAAGCAAAAGGCGACGACGGATTCGTTCTGCATGTCCTAGTCGTGGGCCCTGGTGAGTGGCAGACCCTGCTCCTCCCGAGAAGACCCACAAGCGACCCTCACCCCATCCCTGCCCTGGTGGAGCCCGCGATCCAGGCACAGGATCCCAAGACGGCAGCGGCAGCTCCGGGGTGCCCCGAAAGCCACTGAGCAGCTGGGCACAGGCTCCCTCACTAGTTAAAGGCGGAGCAGAGAACCGGAAGAGCCATCCCGGGAGCCCACCGGGCGTTCAGCTTCCCTTGGGCCACCAGGGGGCTTGGGCAGGTTTCTGATGGGGGCGTTTCCTGGGACTTCTGAAGCAGGCCAGGGGCAGGGTGGGTGAAGGCCATTCGATTGTCCTGTCTCCAGAATCTCCCAATGCGCGGGTGTTCCACGTGACCAGAGCGACTCACCGGTCTCTAATGTCTCCGGTTTTCCAAGGCCTCCTCAGTCATCCTGAGGACAGAAGGGCTGGGGGTGGTTTGGTGAGTGTGCCCCGCCTACAGCATCCTGTAGAAACGGTAGTCATGGTCTCAGTGGTGCAATCTGTTAGCGCGTTGGGCTGTTAACCTAAAGGTTGGTGATTCGATCCAACCCAGGGACGCCTCGTGTTGTGTTTTAACCCGTTTCAATCAACCAGGTTAACCTATTTCTGTTAACATACAATCAACCGGGTTAATCATGGGGCATTAATCCTGAGACACACATGTCCTCTTCCTGACCTCCTTACATCTGAGGCTGTGAGAAGGACCAACTGCGCCTTATACATGTCAAACTGAGGGATCCCAGAGACCTTAGACAGTAATTCACTTCTGGATAACACGCTTCTTTGCTGCCATGGAAGGCTTGGGTGAGTAAGGTGCCTCAGGTTTTTCATTTATAATAATAGGAGACCTATTACAGTAGCATCCTATCCCCAGGATGTGCCTGGGTTTACTGATTGCTTTATCAATAATGTGACCAGTAGAATCAGTCATCTTCATGCTGACGCTCGCCATGGTTGGTGAAAACAGCATTTCTTCCTTGGTTTGTGTCATTTATTTAACCCTTTACAAATGTTTTTCAAGGCCAGTCTCGGTGGCTCACGCCAGTAATCCCAGCATTTTAGGAGGCCGAGGCAGGTGGACTACCTGATGTAAGGAGTTTGAGACCTGCCTGACCAACATGGTGAAACCCTGTCTCCACTAAAAATACAAAAATTACCCGAGCATGGTGGTAGGGGCCTGTAATCCCTGCTACTTGGGAGGCTGAGGCAGGAGAATCGCTTGAACCCGGGAGGCGGAGGTTGCAGTGAGCGGAGATCATACCATTGCACTCCAGCCTGGAGGACAAGAGCGAGACTTGGTCTCAAAAATATAAATGTTTTTGAAATGAGGTGGGTTTCATGGTGTTAGGATTACAAAGGGTGCTGCAGTCCCCACCGTTATTGTACATATTTCTTTGGTCACTTATGCAGGTATTTCTGTAGTGTAGAGAACAGGATGTGCCATTTTTACATTACAGTGTTTATTTAATGCTTCTAATTTGAATACCTTCTACAAACTTATCTTCTGAGGGAGCAGGACCAAATCATAGTCCAATTTGTTCCCCGAGTCTATCAAGGTCTCTTTTGTCACTTACTTGCCGGCACAGCAAACTTTCTACGCATCGATGTATGATATTCCACTGAGGGGAGAGGTGCCCTCCTGGCTTAACCGAGGGGGTGGACAACAGAAGCACATGGTGGACGTCACACACAGATACTCTGCGGCATACGATGAACTGCTAAGCTTTTAAGATATTTTAAAGTCCTCCAACATCTGTAATTGTTTTCTGTGGTGACCAAGTCACGTGGGTCTGGAGAAGACAGGCCACAGTGACCTCTTTGAAAGTTGTCTGTCAAGTTGCTCTTCTAAGGAGAGCAAAATCACTAAGGTCCCAGGTGATATTTTTCTTCTCCCCTTTCCTCTTCATATTCTTGATTTTGCTTTTATTTGACAAAACCAAACTTACGCTCATTCTCCCTCCTAAAAATGGTAAATTAGCATGCAAATTATTATTCTTTGATAGATTTTTCAGGGGCCATGTGCATAACAGCCCATCTGAGATGCATTGTGGGAGCCGACAGAACCCTGCACCCAGCAGGCACCTTGTGCAGACCTGGACCTTAGAGCTATTGGCTCATGTTCCTTCAGTTCTTCTGTTGAACATCATGATAGAAATTAAGCTCTTTGGCTTTTACCCACTACTATGGCTATCGTGCAGTTTCTCTCTCTCTCTCTGTCTTTCTCTCTCTCTCCCTCCTTCTCTTTCTCTCTCATTTTTGTATCATGATTTTCTTCCATCAGTGGCATCAGTGTGGGTTTCTGGTTTTGATTGTACAGAGTGAACTTCTGGGATCATTTTATGACTATGTAACAGTTGATATTCAATTCTTCTGAGGATGAAGGTTTGTGTTTTACCCAGGTTTTCCTTAGAATAAAAATGAGGTTACTAAGAGCATTTTTGTTAGAAGCCTTGTTGGATGTATTGTTCATGCAATGCGATGGGAGTAAGGGACCACCACAGGGAGGTGAGAAGCTGCTTCTCAGAGGTGGAGGCTGTTCTTGATGTCAGAAGGATGACGGCTGGAAGAACCTTCAGGCACAGCGCAAAGCATGAGCGACAGCTCTGTGGAGTCCAGGAGGCTGGAAAATAGGGAATAAAAGAGGCCAGTTTGTCTGGAGCAGAGAGAGCAGGATGGAATCGGTCTGAGCAGTGAGAAGAGATGGAGAGGTGGGCAAGGCGCCTGGCCATTCAGGGGTGGTTAGTTAGGAAGTTTTGTCTAGGAAAATGGGAAGGTGTTTAAGTAGTTTAGGCTGGGAGGTGACAGGGTCACATTATATTATGAAAAAGCGACTCTGCCTGTTGTGTTGAGATTAGAGAGGTGATAAAAGGGATATGTGTAAACCACAAGACTAGGTCATCCCTCCACCCCCACTCCTCAGGTGAAGGTGGCCTAGGCTACGGTGGTGTTGGAGGAGATAGAGGAGGACAGACTCAGGGAAAATTTGCGTGGCAAAAACCAGTAGGATTTGCTGATGGATGGAATACAGGAGGGGAGAGGTAGGTTATCAGGGCTATATGTTAGTTGCTTATACAAGATGGATTCAATTGCAATGAAATTGTGAATTGAAATTGACTTTAAATAATGGCACGACAAAGTCATGCAAACTTTTGCATTAGATAAAAGGCAAAGTTTTTAAAGTTTTTAAAGTTCAAGTTTTTAAAGTTTTTAGCTGGGTGGACAGCATGGCTTTACTTCCTATTTCTTGGTATTTCCTAATCTTGTTTAAAAAGTTTTTCTCTTTCTGAAAGGCTTATTTCAGTGGAAGTCCATCTGCAAAATCTGTTATATATTTAAATTAGAAAATAACTACAAGTGCCATGGACATGTTGATTATTTTTTTTGCCATATGAAAATTGGTTAGTACAGTGTTTTCATCATGAAAACTTATGATCTTGGTCTTTCCTTCTTGCTTTTGGATGGGGGCAAAAGAGAGACACTGGCTACTTTGACAAACTTAAAGCGGACTCCAGGAATATCACCAACGGCGTGACCTTTGCGACCAAATCCAGCAACCAGAACTTCATCTTTTTCCTCAGTAAAGTTCAAGCAACCATCACGGGGTACAAAGGCTGTGATTTTCCTGCCATTCTTGATGGGCTGGACCCTGACGCACTTCCCAATGGCAGAATTTGGCTGCTTGGCTTCAACTCCTAGTTTTTCCAGCAGGATTCCCTTTGCACCAGAAGTACCTCCAAAAGGGTTGGCCTTCAGGGCTGTGCCCAAATGGGCTTTCTTGTAGTGTTTATCATGCCACTTCTGGTGTCCTTGGTGGCTACGGAGCTTCTTAGCAGTACGAAGTCCAGGACACTGGCCCATCCTGCCGGCTTTGAGGGTGACCTAAGGCCACCTCTC